ACCACCATTTAAAAGCAACTCTGACCTTTTCAACAAATTTCCTTTGTTTGTCAATAAAAATTATTGCAATTTGCCTGTTTTTTTTTATTAGTAATATATCAAAAATATTTAGGTGTGGCTTGGCTTTATTCTAAGAGCCCAGGATGCAAGGGATTTGATCATTCAGAGGGACAGATTCCTTGCATTTTGGGGAATTTGATCAAATAAATGATTGTTAGTGCTTAAAACACCCTTTAACTGTACATTTAAAGCATTTAAGACAAAATCTGTTAATTTGTCCATTAATAAATTTTACATTTGGGCTGCACTTTAAATAGATTTTAATTTTCCCAGAAAACACATTTTAAAACATCCAGTCATGTAATTGTTAAATGTAAGTTTGCTCCCTTACATAACCCAAAGTGACCTAACCATAATAACAGAAATTGATGACAAATTAACCGTTAATATTTCAGACGAACTTCCAAACTAAAGGTCTGGAAAGTTATGCTGACATTTATATTATTTATTAGTTAAAAGATTCCCATTGGGTCAAATCAAAAAGATGAAGAATTATTTAGCCATCAAACACTTATATGTTTGAGATCATTTTGATGAAAAACAGTCACAGTTTGTTAAAAATTACAAATGTTACTTCAGCAGCAGCTAAAGAATTTTAACTGTCGAATAATACAAATTTGTTGAGCCTGGGAGCATTTACAGCAGTACAATGGTGCGCGAGAGGCTGGCTGAAAACATGCAGAAACATGTCATCCAGTACAGAGCGCCAGTGTGGACGTGCAGCAGCGAAGCAGCGCCTTTGTTGTTAAAATGGAAGCTGAATGAAAAGTAGAAATCCAGCTTCCAGATAATTAAGACTGTTCAGCAGTGAGTGTTATTAATATGTACAAAAATACACAGAGCTCAAAGCAGCTGATGAGAGAGGGAATAGCAGCAGGCTTTCATTCATCTCACTCCTTTGTGTGGGTGCGGTAGTAACACACTCTCTCTCCCTCTCTGGCTCACACACACACACACACACACACACACACGGAGGCTTTTGTTGTGGCCCCCGTATTGCGTAAACAGTGAAGACAAATGAACAAAAATCACCGCTGATTGTCGACAGGTAAGACTAAAGAGGCTTGGGCTGTGTGTCAGTGGGCCATCTGGGAATAAAGTGATAGGCGAGAGAGAGAGAGAGAGAGAGAGAGAGAGAGAGAGAGAGAGAGAGAGAGAGTGT